CTTACCCACTCTCATGGCCTTCAGGAAAGCCGTTAAAACCTGGCTGTTCCGGCAGGCCTGAGGCTTAGTGTTAAGGTCCAGCCCCGATTAGAACGTATGTATATTGTGAATTTTAAACTATTTTTTAAACTTATTTTGCTTTTCTTCTTTTTTTCTTCTTCGTTGTAAGCCGCCCGGAGTCCTCCGGGATTGGGCGGCCTATAAATTTAATAAATGAAATGAAATGAATCTGAGTATCTGTATAAACCTGTATTTATCCATATAAAATCCTAGGAGTTTTTAATTTAGGTAATTTTTAAACCATTTACTAGACTAGAGAATCTTAAATAGGTGGTTCTAAGAATACTAGATCTGTAGCATTACTGATATTTAAAAATTGAGGAATTTGTTGATAATCTGGGTTATTTCAGTAATTTATATCAAATTAAGGATATTTATGTTTTAAAAAATCATGGGCAAGTAGAATTAGTGTAGATTACAGAAAATCCTAGATTAAAAACAAATCAGTCCATTGTTTTTCTGTATGCTAATGATGTTATCATACAAGCCTTTCTTGCCTAAATATTTTTTTTCTTTGTAACAGGTCATGTTTTTAGGTGAAATTGAAGAAGTTCTGGATGTAATAGAACCGACACAGTTCAAAAAAATACAAGAGCCTCTTTTCAAACAAATAGCAAAGTGTGTGTCAAGTTCACATTTTCAGGTAATAACTTGAGATTTTCTATAATTAAAAATTGGATACTAGCCAATCTCATTGTCCTGATATTTTAAATGTGTATTTCAGATTGCAGAAAGGGCTCTGTACTTTTGGAATAATGAATACATTCTTGGTCTAATTGAAGAGAACATTGATACAATTTTGCCAATTATGTTTGGCAATTTATATAAGATCTCCAAAGAACACTGGAATCCGTATGTACTTCTTACTGTTTAACCTTTTAAAATGTTTTTATGTATTGCGCATTAGTTTCAGATATAAATCCTTTTGGTTTGTAACGCATAAACACCATGTTAAAATAATGCATTTTGTATATGACAATGCATGAGAATTTCATTGTCTGCACAGAACTGCAAGCACTGAATCATTGATACTGCTACTTGAAAGATGTGTTTTGAAATGATTTATTATATACATTGTCATAAAATCATAAAATTGGAAGTGACTTCAATTCCTCTAGTGCAACCCTCTGCTCAGTACAGGATCCATTAGAGGATTTCTGATAGATGACCATCCAATCTATTTTTGACAACCTCCAGTGAAGAAGATATCTCTTTATAAGGCAATCTATTCCACTGATTGATAGTTCTTATGATAGGAAATTCCTCCTCATATGTCTCATCTGAATCTACTTCTTTATACTTTCACCCTAGGGTTCTGGTAGTTCCCCACAACACAAAAGAGAACAGATATCATCTAATGACATATTTCCCCTCAATCGGCTTTTACACAAGCGGAATGTATCCATTCTTTTAACCATTCCTCGTAGGATTTCATTTCCAGCCCATATCACCTTGGTACCATCCTTTGAATTTCTTTGAATTTCAGTTTATGGTTCTCCTTTTTGGAGTTCAGTGTCCAAGCAGGATAGTGTTGTGGGTGGGATCTTATGAAGACAAAATAGAGTGGGACAATTACTCAATTTCATGATCTTTATATTCCTGTGTATATATTCCAAAATAGCATTTGCATTGTCAGCAAATGCATCAAATTATTAACTATTACTTAATTTGTGATCTGTTTTAACACCCAGATCCTTTTCATGTTACTTCTGTAAAACAGATCTCCCCCATTGTTTTGTTTGTTTGTTTGTTTGTTTCATTTTTCTCCTTCAGAAACTTTTATTTGGATTACTGTTTAAATCTGTAGATTTTTTTAAATCTTCCCTTTCTCTTTTGAAGTTTTAGCTAGTCCTAGTTTTTATGCCATCTGCAGATTTGGTAGTCATCCCCTCAACTCCATCTAGTCACTTGGTTGAGTTGGGCAGCCATAGTAATTGAATAAATAAAAGATAAACAAATTCTTTCCAGATTAGTAATAAAAATGTTGGTCCCAAGACAGATTTGTGGCACTCCATATTGTGCTCTGTCCAGGTTAATAAGGAGACATTTATGAATGGCCATTCAGCCAATTATAAATTCATGCAACAGTGATATCATCTAACCCATATTTTACAGTTTTATTGAGGATTTCATGAGAGGCTTTGCTGGGGTCAAGGTACAACTTTTCAGCCAAAATGCAATAAAATGTTACTTACAAAAACTATGACAGCAACCAACTACTTACAAATCTATTTTAAAAGCTCAATATGATATGTAGGGTTATGTAAACAGTTTTCACGTCACTGACTTGGGACTCTTCTCCATCCCTAAACTGTTATCCACAATATTTGATGGTAGAGGTTTTTTTTTTTCTGAGAATGGACATCAGTAGATTCATTCTCAAAGTTAAAAATCTGATACCAGGGAAGCTTTCTTAGGAAGGCATTTTATAATCAAAATAATGCTTTGTTAAAATTAATAAAATGTCTGTTATAACTTATAAAGGAATTGACTTGTTAATGGAAACTCATTCTCAACAAAATCACTTTACTGGCCTGATAATCTTATCTCTTGATTTTTCATTTATTGCCAAGCAAATTTAGTTGAAATACTAAATATAGGAAGCCCTTATGAATATATTTTTTGCTTTTTGTACTTTGTGTTAGATTTGGGCAGCCCCCTTTGTAAGTGCACTTGACTTTGACTTCAGTTTCAGTTTATTAAACTTGTATGCTGCCCTATTCCCAAAGGGACTCAGGGCGGCTAACAAACCAATAGGGAATAGGGGCAATAAAAAGAAAACAAACAAGACAAAAACAAAGTCCAAAAAACAGATTAAAAAGAAAACTTCACAACAGCCGCAACAACTCGAGTGGGGCTGGGAACTGCCGGAACAGCCAGGTCTTGATGGCTGAAGGGTGGTGAGGGTCCAAAACTCCATGGGGAGATCGTTCCAGAGGGCCGGAGCAGCCACAGAGAAGGCCCTCCCCTGGGTAGTCGTCAGTCGACATTGGCTAGTTGATGGAATCCGGAGGAGGCCTAATCTGTGGGATCTAATTGGTC